GAACGAATGATCCATGTCTTGAATTCTAAAAGCGAAAAATTCTCTCATTGTACATGCCGCCCGCTTGCTGTTGGTTGTATCTGTAATTCCTCTATGAAGAATGTCAACACTATAACCATCATCCCCATATGGAAATAGTAGTGGATATTGGAGAGGAAGGTCGGAAGGATGCAATTCACTGATACGTTGTAGAAAACCCAATTTTGTTTGAACAACGATATCTCTATTTTCAATCGAATCTGAAATGTCACCTACAATTAAAGTTGGAACCTCAGAAGCAGTTGGTAGGTTATATGTTCTTCCATCACGATTCCTTTTCCCGATAATTCTTAACTTCATATCAACGTGAGGATTTTTCTGAAAAGCATCTCTTACCATTCTATAAGAGCTAACCAAGACATTATTTGAATCTAGCATGACCTTCAATTCTTCAATAATATCATTATCAAATGATGTAGATTGTTGGTTTTCCCCACTATATGAATGGAAAATATAAATAACATCAGCAATATATATATATATATATATATATATATATATATATTAAAATAGAGTATGAATAAGAAAATTGAAAATTTACCAAAAACATCTCTGCCTATTTAAATTTTCATTATCAGTATCATAAATGTATAACTGAGAGAATTTTGGTTGCGATCCTTTTGCTGGTAAAAGACTTCTAATACTATGATAATTTTGACCACCAAGTCTGAAAATGTATGGAGCATTTCCTCTATTGATTGAAGAATCAATCTTACCACCCATCGATGTAAAAGAAAACATTAAATTGTAACGTCGTATATTTTTCCTGAAGTTTTTGCTTTTACAATCGTTTGATTGAAACATTCTTTCATAAGTTGGTGGTGCCTTTTTTAAATCTGGTAGTTGAACCTTGCCATAACCACAACATAATGAAAATTTTGTGCTCTCTTTTTGTTTGCCTCTAATGGATTCATTTGTCCATAACTTTGCACGACATGTTTGGCATACAACAATTTGATCACCATGATCCAAATATTCTGTAAAAAAATTAAGTGTTATTAATATAATACTAACTTTATAAATATATACCATATAGGAATTGATTTGTAAAAAATAATAAAAATGGATATATTTTTGTTTACCTTTGGAAATACCAACGATTAAGTTTTCAGATATGACCTCGTGTATATTTTCTACATCTGTTGTCAGGTCAATTAATGGAATAGGAGATAAATGTTTCAATTTCCTTTTTAATTTATGACATCCTGGATTTAACATGATTGATGATGAAGATTGACATATTGTAGATGCAGTTCTGGATGTCATATCTGCTGAAAGCACAGAGTAGTTACTTTTATTTGCTAACGTTGAAGTGGGGTGGTTATTGAAAGCAATGTTAGCTGAAACAAATAATAGTATATTAAAAAAAAGATTATAAATTTATTAGAGAATGCATCATAGTAAATTTAAAAAGAAAATTATTACCATTTGTAATGTTAGATAACGGAGTTCTAACATTTATGTATGAAGGAGAAAATTGTAAGGGCGTATTTTCATTTCCTCGAGATCTATATGAATGAACATTTTCATTTTGAAGACCAACGCTCTTAAATTGATCTGCAAAAAAATATATTATAAAAATTGAAGACATGACGTAAAAAACAAAATAAGAAGGTAAAATTATATAAGATTATAGGGTAATAACATAAAAAGATGAGAATTTATGTATTGTATTTTTCAGCTAAAAGAAGTGTAAAACGTGGTTGATTTTAATAAGAAAATTACAGCTATCCATGTTTTTTAAGACATGTGGAGTTGATGGATTTAAAATGTTGGATCTTATATTTGTTGTCTTCAATCGCTTATTATCCAAATATAATTTTCTCCGTTTTCTATTCACTTTTGCTTGAAGTAGTAGATATGGTTGTTTTTTTTCTACATAAGGAATATAAGCATATGATATAAAGTTAACAATAGGTAGATAATTGTATTTATATAGAATATTAATAATAGTGAAGAAATAAATGTACCTTTGTAACCTTTGTTAAAAAATATTTCAGATGATGAAGATTCAACGTACAACGAAGCAGATAATATATTTGTTTTTTCTTGTCATGTTAATACGGGTTGGTGTTAGAATAGTACATATTTTTATGTTATTAAAAAGTATACAAAGAACTTAAAAAATATGTAAAAATAAAATTAAAAAATGGTAAATGATAAACATACCGTTGTTAATTGAAGAAAGAACATTAGTAGCGGTTGAAGATTGTTGGATTGATGTACCAGACAAATTAACGTGTTGTCTATTTTCTAAGTAAAAAGTATTTAATTTTCTAGTCTTTTTAGAATTAACCGACTTCATGATCTGCTTGCGTTCTGAACAATTAACACAATTTAGTTAATAAAATAAATGTTATGCACATAATTAATAAAACAACACAACCGGATTTATTGTTTAAAATTAGACGAAAGCCATCGAAAAAAATAATTAAAGTAAATATAATATAAGTGGGACCATAGTTGTAATGTAGTTACAATCTAATATTTTTATATCAAGAAAACCTAAATATAAAATAATGACAATACCACTAAATCATTTGTCTTAAAAATGATTTGTACATAAATATTATATACATCAATATCACTATTTTTTTTTTAAATTATAAATTGTAATATAGAATTGCAGTTTAGTATTGTCATTATAGTCATAGATTTATTATAGGTTAATAATTTTTTTACTTTATACACTTTGAAATGTATAATTTATCATTAATATCCCCTATTTTCAAAAATTGGCAGCCACATATGAAACATCCCTAACCTTCCAAACCTAACGTACGAATCTACATTTCTCCATTTCTAGGTATTCGAAAAAGAAAGAAATGATGAATGGATGGGTACAATTAAACGTAGCCCTAAACATATCTATCCAATTGACTACAAATCTCGTTTGTGGCGTACAAAAAATGAAATGGAGCTATCATTCAGAATGTGTATGTAGGTTAGAACCTTGACGATTAAACAACATAGAACGATTTGTGTTGATATTCTCCAAAATCAGGAAATCAGAAGGATGCGATTAGTTACATATTATCGTGTGCTTTGAAATGGAATGTGGAACGATTCGGAAGAGGATATCGTCACCAGAGACTTACATCAATTAATAGTCGATGTCGAACTCAGAGACTGAAGAAACGAAAAATTGGGGGTTGAAGACAGCAGATTGAAGGTAAGAGATGGTCAATTGTTTGTGAATCTTAGGTTTTATTAACAGAACATACATTACTGGGAAGAAATTTACCTGGTTTTATTTTTGCAGAAATCTTGTTTATAAAGATATTAGTGAAAACTGAAGAACTTCAAAAGAATACCTCGAAATCGATTAAGAATGGAAACACAATCAGGTATTTTTCAATTTTCTAAAAGTTTTGAATTTCGTATTGTGTGAGTATTATTTTAAAATTTTGAAATTTGAATTTGCTAAACATTAGGCTTAATTTTGTGCAAAATTATTCACTGATTTATATTAATATGAGGAAATAAAAAAATACCTTGAAGTTTCATTTTTTGTGATATTTGTTAATATTATTTAATTTAGATTGTATTTTAAAATTTTATTTGTACAAAAATAATTTCATATTAAAAAATAAATTAAAAAAAAAAAAAAAAAAAAAAAACCACCGTGTGTTGAAAACAATATATATATTTAGTATTATGCATAATTCTTGTATTTGGAAACTACAACTTATTGATTTGTTTATTGTACCTTACATTTTTCTTATTTAGTCAAAACAAAAGAACCTAAAAAACTAATTATTATGTTATCATATTTGATTCAAAAGTAGATACAGATATCTGAAAAGTAATTATATGCTCAATAAATTAATTGTTTTAATCCTTAATAGGAAAATTATGATCAGATACCAGAAAGGGAGATCCAAACACTTGTCAACCATCTTTTGTTTAACCTATTAAACCCTATTGATGTGTTGATTGATAAAGATTACAAACCATTGAGCTGATTTTTCTCTTAGATGGACTGTTTTGCCCTTTTGGTTTTGCTATAAGTTGGAATGTTTTTCCCTTTTGTGTTGGGTGGCTTCATTTATGTTGTTTACTACTTGATTTTGTTGTCTTTTTCTTGCTAGACCCTCGTATACTTGGTTTCGGATGATTCTTGCTTCCTTCATATGAGGTTTATTGGCCTTTTTGCCCTTGTTGATGCTCCTTGTATGTTTTATGCCGCTTTATAGTTGATTGCCTTTTTTTTGGTTCATTCCTATTAGTCCATTGCCCTTTATGTCGCTTTTTATGAAAAGTAGGGCGCTATATTATGAAATAAGTTATTTGGTAAAACGGTCCATATATAAGGGAAAAATTGTCCTTTTCTATTAAAAAGAAATAACGATAGTTTTTTTAGTATACGGCATAAACAGAAAAACAAACAATGATAGGACAAATGGTCCTTTTGGTGATAAAATGTGTAAGAATGGTCCCTATGCAATGAACTCTATGACGAATTATAGAACACAAATAGAAAAAATTTGAAAAATATATGTTCTTCAACTTTTTCCTCTAATATTTTATTTCATGTTTCTGTTGTGTGTAGAGTTTACATTGAATTTATATATGCGTTATACCTTTTAAAGCATTAAACGGTCAAACCTAATTTAACACTGAATTTCAATGGTTTTAGTTATTTTAATATATTTCTTATTAATTGCAATGTAAAAACTATTCATTATGCCCTTGTACACAAGTACATTGCTTGTTGTGAATTTAAATTTAACTGTTTTTAAACATATTATTTTCAAAGATTAATTTCAGTGTAATTGTGATACAAACAAATTTTAAAGTGAAAGTGTCAAATAAGTAAAAATGTACTGTTAAACCACTTCAAATAAATAAAACTGACGTATAAAAACAAACGAAAGTCCCCAAAATACTTGCACGAAACAACGAAATAGTCTTTAAAATAAAACCAAACTTAATAATTGTTTTTAAAAACCATAATCAACTCAGTTCTCCACTTTTGGCACCCAAACTGGAGTATCTTCACCCAAAGATTCCGTATTTGATTTTATAGAATTTGCATCACCATCATCTTCTAGATCATAAACGTCATCACCATAACAACTCGTTTTTCCACTTTTGGAACTAAAAGTGGGTTTCCCTCTCCCATTGATTTTCTTTTAGATTTTATTGAACTCAAATCACCTCCACCATCAACATCATAAATGTCATGGAGGTTGCGCTTCAAATCACCTGATATTTTCAATGGACTTGTTGCGGATGATTTATCAATTGTTGAGGGAGTAAAATTCTCATCCGTTTGTGATATGACATCCTAAATTAAAAAAACATAAGTTGACAAGCAATCTAATTAAATATAAACAAAATTTAATATGAGAATATAACATAGCTTTTGAACATTTTGAACGACATCATCTGATTCCAGGGGTACTTCATTTAAGGACATTGATTGAACACTCTAGAAAATAATATGGAAATATGTAAAACGTTATGTATGTAAATAAAAAATAAATATAAATATTGAACATTAAAACATTATTTACCATAAGTTCTAGTTTACTTTCCAATTCTAAAACAACGGACTCATCTTCTGTAAGTTTGACAACGGTGTAGATATTGTTATAGTTGGTGACATTGTAGGATGTAACATCTACAAGAAACGCAAATTTGCGGTTTTTCAAGACGTTCATTTGATTTGGATATAGTTCCAAACTGTCACCAGCCTGTAAGAAGATTGTTTAATATATTAAAACAAATAAAATGTTATTTGATAGAAAAATATGAATAAAAAACTATACCTCTTCATGTATTTTTTTCAACTCGAATGCACTTATATCCAACAACCTTTTTGCTTCCCTATCAAAAAGAGTGAACCCGATGGTGCCAGTATGATCTTGTACGTTGATTGGAATTATATACCTAAAAAATATTAGATTAATAGTAATTTTGTTGAATGATTGAAATGATTAATATAAATGGAGGTATGTGTATACTTTATAACACTATGAAAATTCGAATCGTTGCAAGCTGCATTTTCACACTTAATTACAACACTATCTTCGATCTTGCCGGGGGCGGTATAGGAAAGATTGGTTTTGGGCACATTGTTTATCCTTCTTCCACATTTGTAGCACGCATCGTAATACCAAGGTAGATTCTGTCTTATATTGACGATGGAACCAACTAATAAAAATTTCATTTCCTATATCAAATAAAATGTAAAATTAAAAAAAAATACAATGTTCAAATAAAATTAAAAGATATAAAGTAAAGAACATATACCTTAAGTGGTTCTGTGATCTCACAAACACTTTTTAAAGGGAAATCGCCTTTAAAATCATCTATATAAGAGGTAGAGTAGCTTGGGAGTGTAGTAATGCTTTTTTCAGACATACCTCCTTTGTTATTAGCCTTCAATCTGCAATGTTTAAAATTAATTTATTAAATATAAGAAATTGTATTCATTTGAATAAATATAATAACATAAATAAGTTTAAATAAAAATTTTAAAAAACTAACTCTTTCTTAAACTCATTAATTTCAACAATGTCTGAATTAATGAACATTTTGGTTACATCAAAATGACTTTGGGCTAGACCAATTCCTGTAAAAACAGATTAGTCAATAAAAGTAGATTGGAAAACAAATTAAGTAATAAAATACAAACCATTCCAAACGTTAAGTTTCACGAACTGCATCACTATAACAACACAAGTAATCGTGGTGTTACTTTTCAGGTAATGTGACATCTTATGTGCCTGACTTCCAAATATAGTGATATTGAGGTGTACAGACCTAAATAAAAAAATTAATTTAATTAGTATGAAAAAATATGACTAAAAATAATAAATAAATGAAATAAATATCATCTCACTCTAAGTTGCTAATAGTCATCTTCATGTAATGTTTTAATGGATTAGGATTGGTTGTCTCTAAGTGGCCTAAATGAGACAATTAGCCCAATAACATCTACACAATTTTAATAAAAAAATATAAGAATCAATTAAATACTAACATTTATAATTTATTTCTTTTACTTATAAAAGTGAATGGAATAAAATTAAACAACTAACCAAATAATGTGTCTCTTGGGCATTTCTGTTCGATGATAGAGTTGAAATCAGCAAACACAAAACCATTAACGAGACCCGAAAAATCATCAGATTTTTTTACAATACTTTTTCAATCCAAAGTTAATGTTTGTTTCTGACCGGTAACACTAAAACCATTTTAACACCCGCCAAGTTTGGTTTTAAAATGATATAACTTTCACCTTCTTTTAAAAGGTCACGAAATCTTGAAATTTTTTGGTGGAAAACACGAGATTGGTATTTTGTACCCTGTTAAAACAAAAACAAAAAAATTATTCTTTGAAACATATGTAATATTTAGTGGGTTTAAAAAAAGTTAACTAACCTCCTTGTCCATGACGATCATTTCAATCGATAAAACGTGGTTATTTTTTTATAAAATTCCAAATCTTTAACACCCGTAGTTTGAGATGTGAATCATCAGCAATATGTTCAATGTCTTTTAGATATAGTTTATTGCCGATATTCATTATCTGCGAACAATTGATAGCATATTGAAATTATTATCAATTTTGCCCTTTACATTATAAATTGAAAGCATATTATTAAACAGTTAGTATTAAATGCAAACAATTATAAACATATTGCATCATATATTACAACACAAATATAGATGGAAAACATTATTGTTTCAAATACTGTTAAAAATACATTCACTTTGTCTAAAATATATACATTCACAAAGTTAACATGGGTGGAAATAGGACCTAACATAATTTTGTAAACATTTGACAAGTTAGAAATAGAGCAAAAACAGTAAATATTTGTTTCTTGAATAGTTGGATTTGGAGTGTAACAGATGCACATAAAAAAATGACAAACATGACTAATAAATCCAAATTGTAATTGTAATGACTAATAGTGTAACCGGTTAAATATGTATTTAGACAACAATATTTCAGTATTTTACCTTACATCCATATCAATTTTTAGGCAAATTTATAGAACAATTATCAAATGTTATACATTGGATAATCTTTTTTTTTTTTAATTTTAATTTTAAACAATCACCACGTGCAAATCATGATCAGGAAATTCCCACAACTAAAAACAACTATTCACATACTTGGAAGGTTTATTAGTAAAAAAACCAAAAAAATTAAATTAAATTAAACAACAACAACAATAATGCTAATTTTTTTACGAATAAAATCATCAAAAAATGATTTTGTCTGATTCTATTAATTTTTTTTACGAATAAAATCAATAACACAACCTTAATTATTAGCTCATGAAACCCAACACAAAAAGTAAGAAGAAAATGAGTGAATTGACTCACTTAAATAAGCAGATGAATATGTTAACTTAAAACGTAAATCAAAGGGTTAAATTGAGGAAATAGTAACATACTTTTTTTATTATTATATTATCCTACTTTCTACTTCATCATAAAAGTACATTGTTAAATTTTGAATGTGTTTATAATTTCTTTTTGTCTGTTTTTATTATTATTTTCTGGAAAGTACTTTGTGTATATACAGAATAAAAAAACAGTTTAGCATCACATTATGCTAATTGCTATATTATTTCCAGCAAAGTATTATAATTTCCAGCAAAGTACTATGCTATTTGCTATATTATTTCCAACAAAGAAGGATGAATTGAATGTTTAATGCTAATTGCATTGATCCTTTATAGTAGAATAAAAAAAATGGTTTAGAATCCCACTACAATATTAGCTATATTATATCCAGCAAAATATGATGATTCAGGAATACTGAGATGCATTCGATAGAGAAACCATGAAGAAGATGAAGGAAAAGGAAATAAATGCAGAAATAAATCACGATAGAATAAAGACTAACCTTATGCGTTGAAGTTTGATGAAGCAGAATTTCAAAGACGTAGTCGATACAGGAAGAATATGAAGCAGAATACCATATATCCAAGTAACCGGTGGATATATAATTCAAAAACTGAAAGAATCCTGATGTTTACGATATTTAAGGTAAGATGTTCTGTTATCTTTTAATTGAAAAATTCTTCCTGATTTTATGTGATTTTTAATGCAGGTTTATTGGAATAGGAAGATTTGAAATTTCAAATCCGAAAAATTAAGGTAAGATGTTTCATTATCTTTTAAGTGATTACATTTTGAGTACTAAATTTGTATACACTATTATTTCCGAAAACTGATACTGATTTTATTTTATGTACAAATATATACGAAAAATATTAGTAAAAATTTTCCTGATTTTACGTGATTTTTAAATATGAATTCCGTAAATTGAGTATTTGAGTATTAAAGAATAGTTATTTTCAATAAAGGGCAAATAAGGAAGTTAACTTTCAATTTTGAGCGGGAAAAATTATTGGGGGGAAGCTTATTGATTGTCACGTGGCAATTTGGTACCGTTTTATTAGATTAGTATATATATATATATATATATATATATATATATATATATATATATATATATATATATATATAGAGAGAGAGAGAGAGAGAGAGAGAGAAAATACATTTTAGATTATCTCCAACCATCTTTATTTTTTCCCCTGTAAATAGAATAAAAAATAGAGTTCAACCCTACTTCATTTTCTAACTCATTTTTTACCCTAAAAAATTCATTCTTAAAATATTTAAGTTTTATAACTTTTATATATATATATATATATATATATATATATATATATATATATATATATATATTTTGTCAAATGCAGCCTTCTATTAATTAGCTTTTAATAAATACATATTATACTTTTTAAATATAATAATATTACAAATTATATTATCATAAATAAAATATTTATATATAATGAATTTAAATTAATTATTAATTTATTATAAATACTATTAAATAAATAAGATTATATTTATAATAAATATATCAAGATCATGATCATATTCGATTACTATATTTTTATAAATTATGTTATCATATTTCAAATGTTTAGTATATATTTAGTTTTTTATATGAATTCGATAAATAAATATTAAAGTCTATATTTATGATTAATTAATATAAATTAGTATATAAGATAATATTACAAATATTAAATATTGCATTCAAATTATAATTATTATATAAAAACAAACTAAAAATATAAAAAAAAAAAAAAAAAAAGAGAGACTAAAATCGTTAACCAAAACTCCAACTTCATTTTTGGAGATGGAATATTATTCATATCTCTAAAAATAGAGATGAAAATGAGGTCAATTTGAGAAGAATGGAGGAAAAAATAGGAATAAAATAGAATTTTAGGGATGGGATAGATATGTCTTAGGGTTATAAGTGTCGGAACCAATTAAGAAGTGACACATGTTTATTTTTTCTAGAAGTTGTTTTAGTTACAAAAATGGTCCTTGTAATTTGAAAAATAGTCCTATTGTATTATTATTTTAAAATCTCTCTATTCTAATAAAAAAAATAAGCTTATTCTATCATCCTATTACGCCTCCTAATTAATATGATGTCACTTGTCAACCTATTGATCCTCTATTTTAAATTTTAAATTTTAAATTTCCACTCTAATTACATTAACTAAATAACATTAGAATAAAAATTAAAATTAAGTTAATACACATTACTAGGTGATATAATTTCATGTATTTATTTAAATCAACGATTATAATTTTATATAACTAAAAAAATATCTCTTAATTAATAATCTATTTGAAAATTTTTATTTAAAATAACTAATTAATAATTTTGAGTCTTTAATATGAAAGTTTAATTTATTTTGTAATCGTGTTTCTCACGGATTATAAACTAGTTTTGATAAAATTAAACAAACGCGGTCCTTCACGTTTCTATCTCATTTACTTCATGATATCTATGTCAGACTTCCGATGATGAAACTCGGTTGTCTTAGCTACTGCAATTTCGATGACCACGACAACCATTGAACCTGACGAACAAAAACCCCCCCTCCACTGCGGTTTAGGGAAGAGACCTTCAGTTTATCCTCCAGCCTCGCCACCACACACCCTCTCGTTATATAGTTATAATCTTTCTCCGATGACAATTTTCAGTTGCTTTATGATCTCACAGTCATCAATGCCTCGACGTTCATGTATCCCAACACATTAGACATTCATCAAGTACCACCAATTTGAAAATTCAACCACCGCCCAATCCAACATTCATCAAGTACCACCAATTTGAAAATTCAACCACCGCCCAATCCACCATCCGTCAAGTACCAAAGAAGTAACTTTGTTTCGTTTTTGATTTGATAGAGGAAAATTTTCACTTACTTTGTTTCGTTTATGATTTTCTAGAGGAAAATTTTCAAAGAAGTTAGACTGAATAGAAGTTAGATGTTAACTTTAATTCTATTCGTTATTGTAGATAGGTTGTTTATGCTTAGGGTTATGATGATTGAAATATTTTCATTTGTCCTAATCTTTTGTAGGAAGAGAGTGTTTGATCACGAAACAGTCGTAAACAAAAAAATATGTGCACCAGCGATGTTGTTGTGGACTATACTGAAGGTAGTTTTGGACTATACGGAAGGTCAGAAGCAAGATAGAATCGTTTGTAATATTTCAATGTTGTTAGAATTAGCGGTTGCGGATGATTTGGAAGGATTTAGGTTAGTGGTTGTAGAAGATGGTTTCGATATCAACGATTTGGTTTATGCTATGGTAGATTGATATGATCGAAGAAGATGAGACTTGAGGAAATAATGACGCTTATGATTGCCACCATGTTTGGTAGCAAACAGGTTATAAAGTTCATTCTTAGATTAAATTGTGTTGATGCTAACAAAGCATGTGGTTCTGATAGGGCAACTACTTTACACATGGTTGTTGCTGGTGGATCCAAGTCATCCGCCGTTAAAGTAGTCAAGATTTTGATCAATGCTTCTGATGATATCTCTTGTCTCGATGTTCACAAGAATCTACGTGTTGATTTAATCCCTCTGGTCTTTGGTTCTTCTTTTAGCTCAAAAAGGAAATTCTTTGAGCTTCTATTAAACTAGGAAGAG